ATTAAAATAACTTTATTATATATAGCATATTAAAAATATCTAATAGTGATCATTGTTATAAAAAAATCTATTGATCAAATAAAAAAAATAAAATCTAATAAATAATTTAATATTTTATAAGTGATTAAAATTAATATTTTTTATTTAAAATATAAAATTGAATTTAATTATGATTCATTTATTTATTTATTTACTTATTTTTAGACCATACAATATATTTTACAGATTCTTCTAAGATAAAATGGATAATAACATCTTTGTTAATGAATTATAATTTAGAATATTATAGGTTTTAAAAAAAAATCTACATTATATATATATATATATATATATATATATATATATATATATATATTATGCATAATTATACAAAAAAATTAAATGTAAATAAATAAATTTAAGTTAATTTTTAGGTTGGTAAATTTATAAAAATAAAAGTCAATTAATAAAATAAATAAAAATAAAATTATTATTAAATTTAACTTTATATATTTTTTTTTCAAAAAAAATTATTCTAATGAATTATATTTATATTTATTATTTATTTCTGAATATCTAATCTGTAAATATTTATAAGAATAACAAAATTACAAGTGCAGATTAGTTATATTATTTTAAAAACAAATCCATAATGTTTGGTATGTATATATTAATTTGAAACTTCTAATTAACTAATTGAGGATTTTCGTCATCTGATATATATATATATATATATATATATATATATGTTTGTGTGTGTATATATATATTTTGATGGATAAATATAGAAAATAGACTAAAATAATTAAAATTTTAAAATTTTAAGTTTAATAATTTTATAAGTATATTTGACAATAAGATCTAAACAACTATGTATAAAATAATTCAAATTTTTAATCATGATATTTTAAAATTATATTTTAACATATTTCTAATATATATTTTGATTGATTATTAAACAAAATTAATTTTTTTAATTTTTTACATAATAATTATTAGTTTTGTTTAAGAAAATTCAAAAAAAAGCTTTAGATTTGTAAATTAAAGAGGGACTGTTTCAAGTTAGCTCTTTGATTTTATAATAATTTTCCAACATAGTTTAATGTCTATATATATATATATATATATATATAGAGAGAGAGAGAGAGAGAGAGAGAGAGGGAGAGGGAGAGAGAGATGTATATAGATTATTTTCAATGAGAAAGAATTAAACATTACATTAAGCATTAAACATTACATTAAGAATTAATCATTCATTTTAGAAACAAGTCAGTACTTCTATATATTAAGTAACAATGAATGGAATTTTGACCAATTTTTTATACCAAACTTACATTTGTATCTAGTGACACAACAATATGCAGCTATTTTAAACCTCTTCATCCTACAAATATTCAATACTGAAAACATTACTTGTATTGCATTGTCATAATATTTTCAATTATAGTAATATTTTTGAAGAAGCTTGTATTTAGGATCTTCTGTAAATTTTAATAATTAACCTTCTGTTGAAACCAGCTTAGATTTTTTAAATCCCAAAAAATATTTTAAAGACTTTAACAAGTTATTTTTGTTGAAATGATAGAATATTTCTAACATCTAGCAAGTTTTTGAGTCATGCAATTAGTGACCATTGTAAGCCAAGCTGATATAAATTGTATTCTCAACGAATACATTCAACTAAACTTCTTTATTAAGTGCCAAAATCCCAAATTGTGACTTGAATTAAGTAATGTTTGATTTCCAAACACATCCATCCATCCATCCATCCATACACACACATTTGCAGCATTCTACATAGTTCTAGAAAAAAATGAATTAAGCTCCTACTTTTAGATGAAAGGCCAAAACGAAAAAAAAATAAAAAAAAATAAAACAATTAGGCCTCAACTAAAATGGAAGATGCCTTTCTCGGTTCACTCTCTCTCAAAAGGTCAACGTGGACGGTCATTCGTCCAAGCTCGACTGCCACGTAATCAAACCGAGAACTGTGGGTTCCTTTCATGGATTCCCATCGTATGGATGAATATACGGACGAATGGTAAATAATTTTATGGATGAATGAAATTGTGAATGGATGGGTGGATGGGTGGATGGATGAGGAATGGCAGTGGGAGGTTGGTGGGGATGCAGTGAAAACTGAAGAAAGTGGGTGGGGGATGAGGGCAGGGGACTGCCTGCCCGCCCATGAATGAATGCATGCCAAAGCCAGGGGCAGTCAGTCAGAGGCTAGTTAGTGATCCATCAAAGGCTCTGCCCTAGTAGTGATGTTGTTGATTATGAAGGAGCTTTACTTCATTGTTCATATTATGCTAGGAATTCCTTTGAGAGTTGGCACCTCCCCCACCTGCTCGGTTTGACATCAAACCAATATTTTTAATACACATACCCACCCCCCCCCCCCCAATAATAATTCTAATTAAGTCGTAATGGTTTGGGTTAGTTGAATCTTTATTTTATTTATTTATATCTCTTGGTGGGAGAGAGAAAGTTGATGTTTTATGTGATTGATCCTTTTTCATAGTCTTTTTGTCACTATGTACTATCTCCAAAAACCAAGGCTTCTAAAAAGTAGGCATTGTTTTTGTTATCAAACAAGAACTTTTATGAGAACTTTACATCATGAACTTCCTATGCAGGCTTCTAGGTGTAAAGATCTCTAAATCATTACCAGTCAACATTGGGATTATTTAAATATTTGTGATTCATATGGTTTATTATTATGATTCAATACTTTTAACAAACATGCAATTTGTTGTATATGTTTTAATGCCACTATGGTGTTTGTTTAGAAAAAAGACAATATGTTATTTAAACTACCTTATAAATTTCAATTAATTTAATGATCGACAATGAATGTTTTGATATTTAAGTAATTCCAATTCAAATTATGAAAATAGGTGTAATCATTTATATAACACCAAATTGATATTGAATAAGATAAAAAATACAAGATAGTTTATTATTTTTTATTTACGTTTTAGTACTGGTAGGGGGGAGGGAAATTTTGTTGGGGCTCTCGATATTGATGATGGTGTATGATGTTTACATGTGTATCTAATTATTCTTTGAAAAATGTGTAAGTACATTATAACATTATAAAATACAAACAAAAAGGCATTCTATGTCACAAAAGTGCAATATGTCGATACAAAAAGAAATTTCAGGTCACTGGACTTACCAAAATCCACCTGTTCATCATTCCCTGAATGACTATTCTACTCACTGCAGGTCTGCAACAGTATAACACACATCCACCACTATCACATCAACCAAAATCCCATAATTCCAGTCAACTTTCCCTCTCTTCAGAAACCCATCATGTCTACATAAAGCAACATTCAAACTCTTTAAAGTAAGTACACAACTTGAGCTACCACCACCACCACCACCACATTCAGGGGATAATTGTTCACGTCTTTCCTTCCGTCTAGATTGCATCATGTATATGCATGAAAAGAAGGAAAAATAATGAAATTCCCTTCCCCAAGACCTAACAGAATGAACCTAACCCCTAAATATCAAACCAATTTGTAGATACGATCAGTGATGAATGAGCTATTGAGAGAAGGGCCCAAGTGGAAAATTGGAAGCACCAGCGACAACAGCGTCACAGCAGCAATCAATCTTCTTCTGCACCTCGTCTGGCGGTCGCATTGAATGCAGGTGCCTTGCATGGCCTCTCTGCAAGACGCCAGCCAGAGCTCAACACCAGAAAGTAGTCATCCTACTGCTACTACTACCACTAATAATAATAAGAATACCGTATGGCTCCCAGTGATGATGCCTGCCAAGTATAGATCTAGGGAGAATAAGACGTGAGGAGGATTATCGCTGCTGTTGCTGCATGGAGAGGGAGGGGCTTTGTGATATTCTGTCACAATGCCATTCGAAAGGGTGGGACGGGACGGACGGAGGGACTGTGTGTGTGGTCTCATGCGTGCGGGGGTAGACATGATTTTCGAGGCTTGGGATTCGGGATTGTTCCTGGACCCGGAGATGAAGTGCTAGAGAGAGCAAGAGAGCGAGAGAGCGACGGGTGGATGGTGGGTCCCGAGGTGGATGCTGGATCGCTGCAGACTAAACCGGAGAGTGGGAAGGAGGCAAACAAGCTCCCTTCATGGTGGCGGGTTCAGCGTTTCCACTAGCGATGGTGGTGCTTCGAATCCCTTGTCCATTCGTCAGCCCCTCTTGATGAGCAGCAGGTGGAGCGGCAATTCTCCCCTGCATCCTTCTTTGGGGGGAGAGTGTTTAAAACGCAAGCCATGGCGTGCGGAGTGGTGTAGCGTGGCCCATTTCTGCGTCAGTGGGTGTAGGTTTCCCTCATGTTTGTTTGAACGAGTCTTTCCGTTCTGTCTCCTCTGAGATCTTCAATTGTGTGCTTGGAAGGAGAGGAGAGGGGAAAGGAGGGAAGAGTAGAGGAGGTGGTGAAGGGTAGAGGAATCTGCTCGAGGTGCTATCGATCCTCTTTGGCTGCCTTTTCAACGGACGTTTTGTGTGTTGTTTCATTTCTCTTCCATTGGTTTTTATTTGTTTTGTTCTGTTTTCTGATAGTGTCCGTTTGGGGAATGAGGGTAGGAATAATGTGGTGAGAAGCTTTTGAAACGATCGCCTCTTTTCTCGAGTCTGGAACACGAGAGGAATATGTTAATGCTTGCATGACAGTTGGAGCGTTTCAACTACCCATCGTAGTTTCAGTCTTTGAAGGGAAGCTCATTAGCTGGGATCTCCTGATAGCTCCGAGAATTTTTGAGTCCGGTACTATTGTTTTTGCACCCTTCGAAGCTAACGGCCCTGTTCTTATACCTGTTGTCAAGAGAGTGGATGTTGGATCCTTAAATGATGCTTTGAAAGTTTTTCTTTGCAAGTCATGGATGGTGGAAGCGAGGATTTGTACAATGTGGCGAGTTTGCATTGACTCTGAGAGTTCACAATGTGCAATCACCATTCAAGAATGGAACATCAGGTTACGTTAGCTAATTGGGGAATTGGATTTTTATTTTTCATTTTATTCGCGAAAAAATTCCCGCTAAATTTTAAGGTTCATTCATAAATATGTTTAAATATAAAAATAAGTATATTGTGTATGTTTACATTATCAGAATCATGATTTTGTGCGTAGTAGGGTTGAAACTTCAGTATCGCTTGACTCCATCCTTACGCGTTTCTACTCGATTAAGCCGTCGTTACACATCGCCTATCCATAACCGAAATTGATATCTGCGATTCTGGTGTATAACTTACACACCGCTTCAGTTGGCTGAGGACTTTCAGCAGATTGAGTCAATTTCTAGTCTAGTTTCCCAAGTATGTACCAACCTTTCCGCTTGAAAGCTTAGAGCAAGGACTGTGAACATGATAGCTTACCAATCGGATGCAAGTAGCCTGTTTTAATTCATATGATCGATTCTGTTCTGTCAAATCTGAATACCTTCACGCACCTTCAGATGGTCGTCTTAGATTCTAATTTCTCTTGATAACATTGCTCATGTAAGTGCCTGTTCATTTCGCATTATAAATGAAGTCGTGCTTCCGCTATAGCTGCGTTGGAAGAATCGATGATAATGTGTCCTACGTCATTCCGAAGCAACACTATTTTCTTTCGATCATGGGACCTACTTCAGAATTTATTCTTATTGAAAAATAACTTCGTCGAAGGGATGCAAACCTTGCTGCTTTATTGGTCTTGTCTCGAGATTACACTTGATGCCGAGTTTTAGGATTTCGAGACTGGTTTATGGCTGTGGTTGTAGTCAAGGCATGGACTACGCGAGTCACATAGATCCACTGGTAGCAGTATGAATGATGTTATTTGCAGCAATCTGAAATTAGGTTAGTGTTTTTGTGCCTATTTTTGCTGCAAAGTGCATGATTGTTCAGTGTTACATGTGGTTCAGGTCGATTTTAGGGAATTCAAGTCCCCTTGATTTGCTTATCTTTCGGCCAGTAGTGCTATTTTTTGTATCTTTGTGCCAGGATAGGACCAAGTTGTTTTTCTCCATTTGCTCTGCGTTCTTTCTTTCTGTAATCCACGATGTAACTTGGTAGTAGGGATTTTTTTAATTCAGTGCGTGGGGGTGTTTTGGCGTTTACAGCCAAGATGTGCTCTCAAGACGATTGTCACGTTTACCACACCTTTTACTTTTGTATTTGTTGAGGGATCTGATATTGACGTAATCATTATGACTTCAGATGATGTTGATAAGTGTTCTGACTGTTATTCGTATTCTTGTTGCATGGTTGCAGTCTTTTCACGATTAGTTGGAAAGTTGTTAGGGAGACCATATAATTCTTTGTGCAACGCGACATTACGCGGAGACAGCTTTAAAGATCGTAAAAATCAGAGAAAAGACCCCTGATTGAAGCTCGCTTAACCTATGGTTTAAGTGGAATTGTTTCTAGTCTTCCGCTAATTTAAGCACTCCTTCTCTTGAAGCCTACTGCCAAAGGCCGACATGGTTCACATCACTGAAATGCGAGTTCTCCTTCCGATGACAGGTGCGTAATGTTGGTTTCAAATTTTCTTCTTTCCAGCAATTAGCTCTATTTCTGTCTTTCATTTCTCGACACCTGTCTGTACTGCCTGATAAGGTTAGATTTTCGTGCGTCTGCAAGGTTCAATATTTCCTTTTTGTATCTTAAATTCTCACTGAACTGACATGAACCTACTAAAGCTACATTTGCTGTGCTGACTCGCACTGAATTGGGATGAATTACACGGTAACCAGTGAACGAATTCAAGAGGGGTCAACGTTTTTCCAACTTCAAGACAAATGAACTGAACACCTCGGAGGGTCAAGGAGGACAGGTGTGTCCTCGCTGCATCAATCTCCAACAATTTGCTCATGTGGTTACGCAAAAGTTGAATGTGCAGCTCGTAACTTCTTGTTTTAACATTTTGGTAATTGTTTGCAGCTTCTCTCAACGTTGCCGTATGAGAACGAGATATGGGGCGAAGGAATCTATACACACAGCCTATATCGTCTTGGAGATCGATTGCCTGACTGGGTAATTCTTCGAGGCGTACACCATATTGTCGTAGGAGTTCTGATAGTTGTACTATTGGAACTTTCTTCGTATTGGGCGTAGCCGTTACAGGGTTTCAGTATTTGCTTCTATCTTTAAACATACACTTGCACGCGCGCGTAACGCAGAAGTTTCACGTGCGCCGTGTTTCAAGTTTGTGGGGTATATGTTTGTTTATTGCCCGTATAGGTGTATTGTATGTTTATCTAGCGGAATATTGAAAGGGAACCAACTGATTTCGGAGACTCCGTCGATCAATTAGCAGCATGTGAAATTGTACCAACTGCTATTGATGTTTGGAGACATGTTGTGATGGCAGGTGACAAGGTTGGTACCTTCAAATGCTTTGATCATTGATGAGAAGACATGGATGGCATTTCCTTATGTGCGAACAACCATTTCAATTCCATTCTTCAATAAGGTTAGTTCTACTGTCTCTAATGATAGTAATTTTTGAATAGCAGTTATTTCGATTGATGTATGGTGGGAAGAGTTCAAAGATTTAATGGAAAATTGGATTCTGATTTTTGTTCCAGCTGAAAATAGAAATGGTTAGCATGCATGCAAACGACAATGGCTCCACGGAGAACATTCACAATCTTACAGAAGCTGAACTTGCCATCCGCAAGGTCGATATGATCGACATTGCTTTTGATGATGTAAGTGACCCCTCTTGTCTTGTTATTTTCAAGGTCATTCGAAAATACGAATAAATTTTATTGAGGTTTTGATGTGGAAATACTGATTCATTATCTTCAACAATTGCGTTGGAAATTGAGGGCATGATTGAGTTAGCGAAACGCATGGTTGTTGTTTGTACTTCGGGTTTTGCCGCATGAAGAAGAGTAATAGTTCTGTGATCTTATTAATCTGATGCTGCCTCTTATTGGAGAGAAATTAGGGGAACTGGATGCTCAAAGAAAGGAGTCTAAAGATATAGCACATATTTCTTTGTCGATATTTCCCACAAGTTTACACATCCTTTCACAGAATGTAATTTACTGCAGAGTATTTCTCTTACTATCTATTTTTGTTTCAGAGAGTGCACGGGTTTTTGGAGAAGGCAGGATCATGCAGTTGAGGATGGATATGTGTTCTGGACTAATGGTCTGATATTAAACTTGACGCAGATTCCAAACCGAGATTACCGAGCAGAATTGGATCCTAAGCTTTATGTTTCTAAGAAAACTGGGTAAGTTTCTCTTTGTACGTAGTAAGTATGTAAACAGTATTTACAATCCCTCAAGCTGAGAGGAAGGAAGTTCAACACCAATAGAAACTCTTTCAACATGACAATTAGGTGTGTTCATAGGAGTTTCAGGGCTAATGAAGAGTTGCTTAACGGACAGTATCTACTTGATTGAAATAGGCGAGGACCTCTAAGGAAGGGATGGCTTGGTAACACGGTACCGACGATGTGTGCGTACAAATTGGTGAAAGTGGAAGCCAAGTAGGTAACAGCTCCTGCCCCCCCTTGTTTACAAGGATGTGGCCAGCAGCGAGTCCCACTTTGTAAGCTTTCGTAGACGCGCTATAGACGCGTGTATTTAGTCAATTTTTCGAAAACCTGCCACTTATAGAATTAGTTGCACATAAATTAAGTATACAAGATGCACTGCTCCTAGCTCAAACAGAGGATGTGGTTATGTGCATACGTCTACATTCAGGTTTTATTGTTGATTATCTGTGAATGTTTTTTCCTGGCCATGTTTCAAATGCCAGCTAATTATAGAACCTGACATTTGCTACATGTATCTTCTGTGCTAGCCGTCGTGAGCTTTTAGTGCAAATGTATCCTTGATCGACTTATCCAGTTTGTATGCTCTCCGCAGTTATTGGGGTGTCCAGAGCCGGGCTGAGAAACTCATGACCAATGGAATTCGTCAGGTGCACCACGAAACTCAGATTTTCTGAAAACAGTAAATGAAAGAAAGTATGAATATCTTGAAATAGGACCAGGGGATGGGAGGTTTGTAATTAAAATTCTACTGGTTTCCGTAATGATTATTCTCCTCGGAAGAGTTCTGTGAATTAACCTGACGTGTTTCGGCCAATTTCGCTCTAACTATTATAGGGGTTTAATATAACTTTTCTTGTGCTGCATACTGTCGTCAGCCATTTTCTCATGCATGCTTGCTCCTTGCATATCCAGATCGTGCTCCTCACTCATCGAAATGCATTCTGTTGGTTGGATGAATGGTTTGATCTTACCTTTGAGGAGGTATTAATTCTCGTCCTCTAAAGTACTAGTTCGAGAGATTGTCATCATATAGTGCTACAATCTCTATCAGTATTAAAATTAAATGATGCTTTTCTTTCCTGCCTTTGATGATCTTCAAACTGAAAATAGCACAGAAAAAAAAGTCACAAACTTTTGTAGTGATTATTGTCGGACTTATGTGCAGATTTGTGCCCGGGAATCTCTTGGGCGCGAGAGGTTAAAAGCTACTGTGAAACAACCTCCTGTTATTGATCCTAGGACAGGGCAGGAAGTAATTCTTGAACCTGAAGGACCTTCTCAGGATACTACTGATGATAGTGATGAGACCAGTGACATTGAAGCTGAATATTTTGAGGCTGAGGTGGGTGATGGCTAATTAATGTGTGACTTTACGCAGTATGGAAGTTTGTGTTATCTGTTTTCCCCATTAATACCAGTAAGTGTGTCTCTGAAAATACTTTTCCGATCTGATGAAACTTGTCCACTCATCTGGGACCCGATTGTTGAAGTTAGTTGATTCAATATTCTGTTGATGTCTTGAGATGTGATACAGAATCTATTTGTTTTGTTCTTTCTAAAGATTTAATTGTACCGAACAGATATCTCCATTTTCATTATATATCCACTGTAAATGTGAACCTTAAATGTTTTTTGTGTGACATCTGTTGGACTAATAGGTGTCCCAACATGGCTTAATGTAGATGGAGTTGGGTAATCTTAATGCTGGACAGCTCGTGACGAAGCGAATACCAGGTGTGCAGAATTTAATTATTTGAATACTATGTTAGTAGAAAATTTCTGAGGTGTACAGCTGTCTCTCTACTGTACGCTTGGTGGATCTACTTGAATCTCTCAGCTTTGCGTCTTTGTAATTGTTACAAATACAGTATCCGTTTGTCACCTTGTCGAAGAAGGTGTGTGCTTTCTGAGACCGCTGCTTCGCACAGCTTTGCAAACTGCTAGGCGAATTATGCACCTGTTTGTTGTCATTCAAGCTCGACATTGACACGTGAGGATGGCTAAAGCAGGGAATGACACAGTGATTACCCAACCTTCAGATGTTCCTGACAGGTACAGTGACAGATACTTTTACGTCATAATTGTCTAGGAATCCCAGTTAATGGTAATGCTGATAGGTTCTATCCTAGCTCACACCAGCATTGTGGCGGTTGATGAAAGAGACCTTATAATCTGCATAATGACTCTAGAATTGTGTGTAGATGTGCAGTATGTGCTACACGTGACATCTCGGACTCTCCTCCATCTTTATTTTGCACTACTTGCCAGGAATACTTCTGTCAGCGTTGTTTTACTGAGGTAAGTTTACATGCAGATGTGACATACAACATGATTGATGATTAGAGTGTTTTTTAGATTGCAAGTGCAACGCCTCTGCATGGATATTACTTGCGCACTTCAGTTTTTGTAGTTGGTTAGTGTCTTCGTTCGGCATCAGTTGGACAGTCATATCAGTAAATACGAGTCACGAACATTCAACAGTTGATTCATTTCCGCTATCGTTAAGTTGCAAGTCCTTCGAAAGCATGCAAAACACCTTACAGATTTTTCTCATGATTTGATGAATATTTTCAGTTTTCTCTGACATTAGTCTGCTCCACACGAGGTTCTTCTCATATGCCTCTTAGCAACGTGTGGTATTCTCGAAGATGGGGAAGGATAGTGAAGGAATACTTGGTTGTTGCCTGATCGAAGAATTTCTGCCAAATAATAGATGCAGTTTACACACATTGCTACAATTTTTTCTGAAACTTTATTTTGTTTCTTGCAGTTCCATGTCACAACGCGACTGAAGGCACATACCATACAGCACCTTTTGAATAGCTTCGTTTCGCTAGACTCCAGAAAAATTGTACCAGTGGATAAGGAGAATGCAAAGAAAGACGCAGGTCTGCCTCCGGTGCGTGTAGTACTTCAGAAGTCTACAAGTGACATGTCTCAATTCAAACGTACTCTTAACAATGGCCACAGCATTGATAGCCCCGCGAGGGAGTTGGGAGCACAGGATCACACTTGGATTAGTCGAGCAACATCCAAGTTGCGGCGCATCAAAAGCGGATTTTCTGTCCTCAATGAGATCCAGTGTACTGATGGCGTGTTACTTCAGGTCTGTGGTACTTGCCTCTTGTTACTATGCTGTATTGTAAAACTGGAGGAAGGGATCGACCATAGTTATTTTCTTTTGATTTGCAGCGATTACGTGAGACTTAAGCTGGAACTGACAGATTCAAACCATTACTCAGGATAACTCACAGCCAGATGTACCACCTATGAGGGCTGCTACTTCCAATTCAGATGCTAATCAACTTAGTTACCGCCCAAATGAATTATCTGAAGAGCTTGTGCGAACAGTTGCCTCACTTCATCAACGTGCAGCTGAGTCATGCTCACTCTCTGCGTTGGCACGCTCGACTTCGCAAGCGTTTGCCTCCTCCAAGCGAAACTTTGGTCGGCGACCTTCTCAAGTAAGCTCCGCCATCAAGTAGCTCTCTTAAGATTCATCAAAAATTTAACTGAAGAATAGGTGAATGACACTCAGTTGTATTGACTTACTTGTCTTAATTATGTATTAATGGTAAAATAATCCCTCAAGTCGACACTCTGGATGTGCACCAGTTTAAGCCTTTGGAATTGCGAACCTCAAGTGGTAATGAACGATCGGAGCTATAGCTAATGGCTTCTAAATCCTCCATGCAGGACTTGACAGATGGAGATATTATGGTTGATCATAAAGGCGAGCGTCTAGCAATTGATCCATATGATGTGAAAGAAGGCTGTACCGCTCGGGATATTGGGGTTTACGCGAACAGTTTGGATGTTACTGTGCTTCCTACGGAGTCTCAGATCAAAGCTTTCGTTGCTCTCTATCAACGGTTGCAGTAAGAGTTTCTACAGCTCTCGCTGTTAAATTTTTATGTTTTGTGACATTAGCACAGATCATAGTTAATTTTGATCATCCTCCTATCACTGAACCTCTTCTGTGGAATGAATCAGTGACCTTCTGGAACTCCTGAAGCTTGTAAAGCCAGAAAACATGCATCACAAGGAGCGCTTGTCGTTTTGGATCAACATTTATAATACACTTGTGCTTCATGTGATTTCTCACCTCTTCATTCTTCATCAATGAATTGTCGTGTTTTAGTAGTGTTGCAATACTCTCTTTTTTAGGTAATGTTGCTTATAGATAAGATTTAACGTAAGCCTTCCTATCATGTTTGATTGTTGTACAAATTATTTTCTACAGCAAAGTCTATGAGATATTCTTGCAAGTCACTGTTATCTTTCTGAGGCCGTGGCTTGCACATGGCTCCTCCTTTGTCATGTGTATAGTTCTTTTGGGTTAGTTGAGATAGTTTTCTTGACTGGAGTTTACTCGATGTGGTTTACCAGGCATTTCTGACATATGGAGCGCCAAAGAATCATTACAAGAGGGTCAGCCTTATGGATAAGGTTTGCCGCATTTCTCGTGCTTTGACATTCTTATATTTAACGTATTATCTTCAGTTTCATCTACTATGAACCTTATGATGCCGTTGAACGTTATTTTGGCAGGTGGCATATATCGTTGGTGCACATAAATACAGCCCACCTATGATTGAACACTCAATATTGCGATCTAATTCGTATCGACCTGCATTAGTAATGATCATCACCTCCGTAGTGTCAAGTCTTCTCGATTTTACTTATCGTTTAAGTCGTGGTCGCGTCTATTCAATGTTTCCGTGTAGGTAGTGCTGTTGAATGCTGTGTCTCTTTATTGGATCTATTCTCTAGCAAGTAATCTATGAATACTTATTTGTGAGAAAAGAAAGTTTTCCTGTTGCATATAGTTTGTAATGCTCGTGTTGTTATGCCAGGCTATCGTATGCAGACAAAATGATGTCTTCATTTCCTTCTCCCGTATGTTCAACGTGCAGGGCCTGAAAGATGAATCTCACACGAATCTAACACATGATTGCAATTGTGACGGTGAATGCTGCCAGGCAAGTCTGTTTCCCATTATAAGAGTTAAGAAGCCTGATGAGCACGTAGGACCATCCCTTGACCGACCAGAGCCCCTTGTCAGTTTTGCGCTTTGCTGTGGAAGCAGATCTAGTCCTGTGGTACGCGTTTCGTAACCATTTTCTCACATATTTAAAACTGAGCTCTTTACTGATATCCAGAGCGTGATATGAGGGTCGTACCGTTAGTAGCGGATGATATATAGCCCGTAGATTGTATTAGCTGCATGTTGAAAATTTAACTTTATCAATCTTATTCAACTGGATAAATTGCCCTTGTGAATATATCTCTGCAGATGCGTGTGTACACAGCCACGAACATCGATATCGAATTAGAAGAAGCGTGCCGAGACTTTTTAATGGCGGCTGTTAGTGTGCACAAGAAGAAAACTGTTGTTCTACCAAAGCTCCTTCATTTGTATGTCCAGGACTTCTCGCATGATGCTGAGTCTTTAATAGAGTGGATCGCTGCTAAACTGCCGCACGAGAAGCGATTGGCTTTTGACGAATGCAAAAAGAAGCGATCTTCGAAAGGAATCAGGCATCGTGTATCTGTGCAGCCCTACGACTGGACTTTTCGTTATCTTTATGATCCAAGTCTGTTGCGAAATTGAGCAGCTTTCATGACATTGTAGATACAGTCGCCACCCAATTCATCTGCACCTGCCTCCGCATTTTAGTAAACTTTCCCGAAATGGACACGAATTATCCATTCATTTATCAATAAGAAATGCAAGGAATTTTAGAAAGAGTAGATAGATTAGACCTGGTTAATAGGTAACTTAATGGTAGTTTGTAAATATTTGTGTGTTTCTCTCTATCGCTGGAACTGAAGGTTAAACCTCCGCTCTGCATATACTCACATATTTGGTAATTTTGGTGTAAGTACTTCTTGGTACTAGGTTTTATTTGATGTTTGATCACATTCCAAGCTAAAACTAAATGTATGTGTACGTAATGTGGTTGTATGTGTGCTGAAGTCTGTGCCTCATTAACTTTCAATTTGAATTAGGCTATTTTCTCAAGCCTTGATGTTGAAACCTATTAGTTTCTATTCTTATATCGTCAGAATCGAACGATATTAGAATAAAGAATATTCATTACATGTACTGAGTGTGCAGTATTCTAATGAGCAATGTATTATCTCCACTGTCTTCCACATTTGCTAAGATAAGCTGAGGAAACTTGAATGGCTCTCTTTCATTAATTTACGAACATCTTCTAAGTTTCATACTTACTTATTTAGCTTCAATTCAAGCAAGGAATTGTTACACTCAAAGGAATGACTAGTAATGAATTGAGCAATGCAGAAGCTCTCGACGTCAAACGTAACCTACCACAAGGCATTTCATGATTGATGAATCTCCCGGATGCAATAGTTGAAATCGATGCAATTGTGCTGCTTAGTAAAGGCAACAGAGGGAGCGTGAAGTGGGTCGAGGATTAACTGGAAGGTTGTCGAGGAGTCCGTTCAAGGAATTTGTTATCTGAGTATTTTTCTATCGAGGATTGTCGTTTTCTTGACTTCTAGAATGATTCCACACAACTGGTCCCAGTAGACCCAGCTACCATTTTGCACCGATTTTCCACCCTAAAGGGTCAAAAAAGTTTACAATCCAAAGTTGCACAAATGTACTAGTAAGACCACAACTTATTTTGGTATTGGTTCTTGTTGATAATGTTTAAAAGAGAGAAGAGTAGCTAGAAGTAATGTCCAAGTATAAGAGTGAGTATATTAATATGATTATATTGATATGATTATCTCTTATATAAAAAGAGAAGGAAAGAAGATAAATAATTTTTCTCTGCTACATTCCAAACATAGACTACAATAAATAGTGTGGAGAGTACCAACTACATTTAATGTTGTCAACACTCCTCCTTACTTGTCATAATATTTATATGCATAGAATTATGATCTATATTTTTTTGTAATCTCACAAGATCAACAACTATTGCTTCATTAAAACCTTATCTATAAAAACCTTATTGTATTTGAAGGCAAAACTATAGATGAAAGAAAAAGAGTACAACATTATTTCAAGAATTCATTAACTTGTTCAAAGAAAGCAAGTCGCTGCATGTCAATGCCATAAGTAAGCCAGCGATGGTTGTACAAAAGAAGAGCTTTCATGAAGAGATCAGCAAGATTATTTGCAGATTCAATTTTCTTAATCTTAAGTACTTGATCAGTAATCAAGTCATGGATATAGCTAAAATACCTTGGATTAATATGCTTTATCTCATTGCGTTTAATGAAACCAACTTGCATCTATGCAATACAAGCGCTATTGTCTTCATACAAGATAATTAGAGAATCATCATATAAAAGTCCACAAGTTGATTGAATGAGTTTATTAATAAATTGCAACCAAATATATTTTCAAGATACTTCATGTAAGACAATAATTTTTGCATGATTGGATGAAGTTGCAATTATAGTTTGTTTCACTGATTTCTATGATATTACAGCTCTATGTCTTAAGAATACATAACCTATTTGAGATTTAGCTATTGTAATATCAAATTTATATCTTATATCAAAATATCCAATTAATTTTGGATCTGCAGATAGTGTATAGTATAATCTCAAATCTTCAATGTCTTTTAAACATCATAACAAATATTTGATGCTACTACAATATCATAGTATTGAATGTGTATTATATCATGTAAGAACATTAATTGCAAATATAATATTTGGTCTTGTAGATATTACTAAATATAAAAGTGCTCCAATTGTTGTGATGTATGGATATTACTTTCTCAATATTTCCTCTTTTTCTTCTTCTTCACATGAACAGTATGAAATATGACCATCACAACCACATCCAACTATTGGAATCGACAATGGATAAGAATCAATCATATTAAATTTCTATAAGATTTGTTTAATATACATTAATTGATAGAAAAAAAATACTACCATCTGTGAGATGCATAATCTGAAGACTAATACAAAAAGTTATTTTTCTTAACATTTTCATCTCAAATTCACAGATAAATAGGTTAGTAGCTACAATGCATGTAGATTTAATATCTGCTAGATTAAAAACATCAATATATACAAAAATGATTATAAAATCAATTTTATTTCATTTAAACAAATAAAGAATTAGTAGATCACTTATAAACTTATTGATGATTAAATAATCTTAGAGAGGTTGATACTACATGCATCCAAATTATTTTAGATTATATAGGATCTTTTGTAATTTAATACCATGATATTGTCCTAGAGTAGGTACATTTGGAGTTCCTATTTTCAAACCAAGTGGAGCTTTCATATAAATATTTACATCAAGAGAACCAGACATATATGCAGTTACTACATCGATAAGATGTATGTCAAGGATAACATGAACTGCCATTCCAATAATATATTAGAATGTAATTGAATCCATGATTAGAGAATATGTGGATTCATAATCAATGCCAAACTATTGGATAAATCCTTAAGCAAGAAAATAAGCTTTGTAGCCAGTTACTTGATCCTTAGTAACTTTCTTGCATATTAATACCATCTTATATCCCATAAGGCAAGAAGTAAGAATGTGCACAATTCAACCAAAGACTTTCCTCTTTGTCTAGGACATGAATCTCAAAAAAAGAGAATCCTCAATATACACTTCTATCATTGAAGAGAACTAAAAAGTCTCTCAAAAGGTGATGTAATATTAACTAGAATGGCTATTGCCAAAATCAAGAAGACTAAAAAATCTTGAAACAAGATTAAGACTAGAAAGGTATTGTCAAGAGTAAAAAAAGCTTTATTCTTGCTTCCATGTATACTATCTAACTAAGAGCTATGTGGCAATGTCCTATAGGACCTCCAACATGTGTTGACTTTGATAGCTACATGTCTTATCTTACAAGGCAAGTTATCTATGTATGCGCCACATAGTTGGCTTGTTCTATCAGCTATTATATAGAGATAACTTGTTCGATAAGCTACTACACGAAGATAACTTGTTCTACAAGCTACCAATACTTAGTTAGCTTTTTGGCCAAGTTTATAACCTACAAACACATCTAAAGCCAAAATCACATCTATGAAGCTTCTAGGAAGCTTTTCTAGAAGACTTTATGAAATTATTTTATATTTATCTACTTCTACTTAATCATACAAGTAACTATTGAGGTAAATATATATGTCGGTGACACTCTTACGCAAAGAAGCATACTCTTTCTCAATGGTACTTTTTTATTTTAACTAATTAAAGCGACGCATTGCTTTTTAGATGGTTCGAGGTTCAAGATCCTTTTTCTCATAAGAAAGAGCTTTTGCAATCATGAATGTAAATAATTTATCTATTATAATAGATGGTCTATTCTAAATTTCATTTGTAGCACAATATAAAACAAATAATTTTGAATTCAATTTGATTTTATTCCTCCTAATTTTTAAGATTTTTTATTGTATGAGGTGAAGATATAATTTGTATGGACATATTATCATTAATTGATCGTCTCATAGGTTTAATAGGAACTTCTATAGAAATAATACCGAAATCACCACATATTATATATATATTTTTTGTGGTTACTTATTTGGTTTACGAGTCATTTTAATTTTTGATGTTTTAATCTAAGGTATATTAGTTAGTCATATTACAATCTAAGTAGGTTTATTTTGAGCCTCATTAATTAGAATTCTTGTAGTCCAAGGGACATCATTAAAGCCATCAGGTATTTCATCTGCAATCCGTTTTATATACAAAATTTTAGCAACTTTAGTTTTAGCCAAAGTTGTTTTAGGATCAAGATTCATTGTAAACGTTTTTGGTACTCCAAATATAAGTATTGTAATTTTTTGTTGATTAAATACTCCTTCTCAAAGAGATGGAAATATATTTTCTTTAAAATGATAATTTTGAAAACGTACACATAATAATATGATAGTTGATGGGTCAATTATATAAATAATGCTTAATGAATTAAAACTAACATATATGCCATCTTTTTAAAGAACTTCAATGGTATATCATTAAAGTTCTAGTATGAAAACTCAAATATAGCAATCAAATATTTTTAAGTGAGATATATTTGAAACATGACTTGAAATGAGCTCTTCTAATATAATAATTTCAAGAAAAGAAGGACGGAGGCATATTAATGCTACAACATATAAAATTGCATGATCCCACATAGATGCAAGTAAATTTTCTTGAAAGAGTGTCTGAATAATGAGTTGTATACACTTTATAAATGACTTTGTAAGTCCATTTTGAACATGTTCTTATGAAATATAATATATCAACTCAATCCTTGTTGTAGTATAATAGTCTTCAAAAGACTTTGATGCAAATTCTTTTGCATTGTCCATGTGCAATATTTTGATAGGATAATCAAGAAAATGTACTTAGAAACAAAATATAGATATAAGATTGGCAAACATCATATTTTGAGTTGATAATAGTGAAGCATGTGATTGTTTGCTTGATGCATCAACAAGGACCAAAAAATAATAAAATGGTCAAGATATTCAATTAATGGAACTACTCAATCTTTTAAATAATAGTGATAATTCTTGTGGAAGTTTCAAAATTGAATACTAAGCTATTATCTTGTCTTACACACACGCACGACATAATTCCATAAAATCTATATTTGCAGGTTTTAAATTATGCTCAATAAGACATGGAATTATCTTTCAAAATAATTTGGATTCTAGATGCCACAACTATCTATGCTAGAGAGAAACGCAACTCTTTGTGATAGATGATGCAAAGTTAAATATAATAAGAAGCCACATTGCAATCTAATTTAAATCATTTGTTATGAGAAAGATTTTTTTTTACATGTCTATGGTTTGTGCAAGAATCAAAATCTCTCGCTTATTCAAAATTGTGATTAAGAGGTGATAACCATTGGCACACATATCTCAATAGTTGATCAGACTTTAAGGTGCTAAAGATATAAA